GGGGGGGGGGGGGGGGGGTGAATTCCTCGGTGTATGATGCGGACTGAGTTGAGGCAACCGCAGTCTATCTTTTTCGATCTGCTCATTAGTGTCATCACCAACTTGGTTTTCAATGAATGAAATAGTTAAATCTAACATGAACAAAGATTAACACAAATTAGTAAAATCTTTGGATATATAGCAAAATTATTTGAGCCCTATGGTGGGCACTAAGTTGTTTAACTAGAAACCGAGTTAATGGATAACACTATTAAATTTATAACAAATGAGCTGCAAGCAATCGATTCAATCCAATTAAATTAGTTTTTGTTAATTTAGAAAAGACAAATAAAACAGATGAATACAAGAACCTTGACTAGAAGGAGTTTGCTTGACAAGATTGATATACACTATGAATGAACTTAGTAGTTAGCAAATTGCTAATAGTATTTGTATCTGAATCAGAATTGAGTTCAAATGGGGAAAATCAGGAGTATTTATAGTACAAAGCAAATGTAATTGCTCCCTTGAATTATGCCTCTTTAATGAGAATTTATTCGACCCTTCCTTTATGCCTGGAGCATTTATAACTATTAAGTTAATGCTAAATTCCATAAAGGGCGAGTTAATATTGAATTGTAACTGCAGTTTATCTTATCCGGACATTCACAGACTTTTTGGACACTTGATCACTTTTTTGAAAACTTTGGATGGTCACTTCCAAGATGACTTCGTTTGTCCTCGGTGTAAGTGATCTGGGCTGCACTTTCTCAAATGACCTTCCAGTTCAATTCACTGAATCTCAGATATTTCAGAACTCGATGATTTGTTAATCGCTTTATCAGGACCCTATTGAATTTTCGAATAATCATCCCCGAGTTGCTAACTTGTAATCTTTTTCGGGATGGCAACTTTTGTTCTCAGTATAGGCGTCTCTGGATGCATTCTTTAATCCACCTTTCGGTTTGATATATTGGAACTGACATAAAGGATTCGAAGATATTTAGGCAATAATGACGAGGTCCAAGGAAAAGTGGAAGCAAAGAAGGCAGCGTACCTGATGTTTGTGGAGAGCACAGTTGAGGAGAAGAGGAGAGCGAACAGAGAAAGGTATAAGGTAGCTAAGAAGGAGGCGAAGTTAGCGGTCACAGAGGCTAAGACTGTAGCATTTTGTCGTCTGTATGAACAATTGGGGAGAAATGCGGGGACAAGAAGTTGTTATGGCTGGCCAAGGCGAGAGAAAGGAAGGCTTGTGATATGGGCCAAGTGAGGTGTATTAAAGATAACAAAGGTAGAGTATTAATGAAAGAGGCTCAGATTAAGCGGAGATGACAGACTTACTTTCATAAACTTCTGAATCAAGAAGAGGTCAAAGACATTGTGCTAAGTGAATTGGGGCACTCCGAGAGTCACCGAGATTTTAGGTACTATAGGTGCATTAAGGTTGAGGAGATCGTGAGGGCTATGCGTAAGATGAGTAGGGGCAGAGCGACCAGGACAGACGAAATTTCGGTAGAATTTTGGAGGTATGTAGGTAGAGAAAGATTGGAGTGGCTGATTGGGTTGTTTAATATTATTTTTAGGATGAAGAGAATGCCAGATGAATGGAGATGGAGTACGATGGTACCACTATATAAAAACAAAGGTGATATCCAAAATTATAACAACTATGGGGGTATCAAGTTATTAAGTCACACCATGAAAGTTTGGAAGAGCGTGGTGGAAGTGAGGGCGAGAAGGGTGGTGTTTATATCCGACAACCAGTTTGGGTTCATGCTTGATTTTTCGACTACGGAAGCTAAACACCTTAGGAGGCTGGTGGAACAGTATATGGATAGGAAGAAGGTTTTGCACATTGTGTTTATTGACCTAGAGAAAGCGTATGACAAAGTCCCTAGGGAGGTTCTAGGGAGGTTCTATGAAGATGCATGAAGGTGAAAGGTATTCTGGTAGCTTACAACATGGTGATTGATGACGTGTATAATGGAGCTAAGACTCCGGTTAGGATAGTAAGAGGTGACTCAGAGCATTTTCTGGTGGTTCTGGGGTTACACCAAGGATTTGCGCATAGTCTATTTTTATTTACCATAGCGATAGACGCAGTGACATACCATATTCAAGGGGAAGTGTCATGGTGTATGTTATTTACTGATGATATAGTTATGATTGATGAGACGCGAAACGACGTTAACAAGAGGTTGGAAGTTTGGAGACAGATCCTTGCGTCTAAAGGTTTCAAGTTGAGCAGGACTAAGATATAATACTTGGAGTGCAAGTTCAACGGCATAACATAGAAAGTGGACTTGGATGTAAGGCTTGACTCACAAGTCATCCCCAAGACATGGAGTTTCAAGTACCTTGGGTCAGTCATCCAGGGGATAGGGAGATTGACAAGGACGTCATGCACCGTATAGGGGTGAGGTGAATGAAATGAAGGTTAGCATCTGGCATTATGTGTGACAAGAATGTGCTACCGAAACTAAAAGGTAAGCTCTATAAAACAGTAGTTAGACCAACCATGTTGTATGGGGCAGAGTGTTAGCCAGTCAAGAATTCACATATCCAGAAGATGAAGGTAGCAAAAATGAGGATGGTGAGATGGATGTGCGGGCACATTAGGCTGGATAAGATTATGAATGAATATATTCGAGTGAAGGTGGGCCTGGCTCCCATGGAAGACAAGATGCGGGAAGCGAGACTGAGATGGTTCGGGCACGTACGGATGAGAAGTCTAGATGTCTTGGTAAGGAGGTGTGAGCGGTTGGCTTTGGCATGTATGAGAAGAGGTAGAGGGTGACCAAAAAAAATATTGGGGAGAGGTAGTCAGGTAGGACATGGCGTGGCTTCAGATTTTCGAGAACATGACCCTTGATAGGAAGGTGTGGAGGTCGAACATTAGGGTTGAAGGTTAGGAGGTAGTACGTCCTTTTTTTCGTGCCTGAGGTGAGGCTAGTCTGATAGTGTTTTGCCGCAGACTGGTAGTGGTTAATGTTGTGTTTATACTATTTTTCTGTTTTCATAGGACCGTGCTATTATTACTGGTATTGTTATTGTTTTTCTATATTTTTTCTGATTTTTATAAAGTTGGTATTATCTTTCTGGCTTATGTTGTTGTTATTAATTATTGTCTCTTTTCGTCTTCTTGAGTCGAGGATCTATCGGAAACAACCTCTCCACTCCGCCGGGTAGAGGTAAGGTATGCGTATACACTACTCTTTTCAGACCTCACTTATGAAATTATACTGAGTTGTTATCATTATTTTTATTTTACTTGTCGCGTATTGATTATTAAACTATCCACGTGTGAAGACCGTTTTTTACCAATACAAAAGCTTTGAAGTTGACTGCACTACACCTGATTTATAGCCCCCATCTAGATTATTCAACACTAAACTATGTCGAGACAAACCTCAAATAAAGCTCCCATTAGTGGTCAAGAATTCAGGATTACCTTCAATCTGAAAGATCACTAAAGAACTAATTCAATTTGCACTTCATCTATGTAATATTACCCTCATTGAATTGAATAATTAATAATGAATAAGTTGACTCTCAATAATAGATCAAGCGAGGGACCAGAGTCTCCAGGTTTTTAGCGCCCTTCATTAATATAGTCTAATAAGCAATTGCACTAACTATTAATGAGGTCTACGCAACTATTAATACTTTCGAATCCTTATAATCTCTATAATTTGATGAAACCATAGGCATATTTAATTTTCCTCCAATATAATTTTCAGAACCATAAATAGGATTTTTTTAATACTATTTGTTCCACTACGTAAAAAGGACTACTCAAACTTTTCTGTTCCAGATAAGAGCCAATGCATATATTTTGAAAAACCAAGAACGCCTAAAAGAAAAGAAGAGTTTGTCCATGGGTATTACCAGCTTTTTTTTCATCCTGTTGGTGCAACTCTGCAATGGCAAATCCTTGCCCAAGTTCTCAGCCATCCTCATCTTTGGAGATTCAACAGTTGATACTGGCAACAATAATTACATCTCTACGATATTTCAAGGTAATCATCGCCCTTATGGCGAAAACTTCCCTGGCCGGATTCCGACAGGAAGGTTTTCAGATGGAAAACTCGTTCCTGACTTTTTAGCATCCATGTTAGGCCTTAAGGAATATGTTCCTCCTTTTCTACAACCATATCTATCAAAACATGATCTTCTAACTGGCGTCAGCTTTGCATCTGCTGGCTCTGGTTACGACGACCTAACCACAGCCGCATCTAAAGCAATCCCCATGTCCCAGCAAATAAAATATTTTGAGCACTACATAGAGAAGCTCCAGGGGATTGTAGGAGAAGAGAAAGCTCAAAAAATTCTCAGTGGTGCTTTGGTTATCATCAGTGCAGGGACTAACGATTTCATCTTCAACTTCTATGATATCCCAACAAGGAGGAATCAATTTAATATAACTGGATATCAAGATTTTTTGCTGATCCAGCTCCAGAACTTTGTAGAGGTAATATAAGTCCATCTTTATTTGATCCCTCCAGTACCCCCTAAATCGACTATGAGGAAATCATATATCCAACCACCAGTGAGACATCGTTAAACCATACTAAATTGCAGGTAGAGAAAAATAAAAACATTTATTAGTAGTCTCATTGTTACATTACCTTTTCAGGATCTATATAATCTTGGATGTCGTAAGATGCTTGTTGCCGGGCTTCCTCCTGTTGGCTGTCTTCCAATACAAATAACTGCAAAGTCCCCATTTCTCAGAAAGTGCATTGAAGAGGAGAATTTTGATGTTCAATCCTATAATGCGAAACTCACAAGGTTGCTAAAACAAGTACAAGCAGCACTTTCAGGAAGCAAAGTATTGTATTCAGATACATATCATCCTTTCATGCAGATGATCAAGCATCCAAAAAAATATGGTAGGCTTCCACTCTCCTCCAAATTCCCTTAAGCAATATAAAACAAATATTATATTTATGAACAGACAGCATTACCTTTTCTGATGTAAAAGATCGATTTGACAGGATTTGTGAAAACTAGACAAGGGTGCTGTGGCAGTGGTACATATGAAGCAGGTCCATTCTGTAACAAACAACGCCCTGTCTGCAAAAATGCTTCTAAATACTTGTTCTGGGACAGTATACATCCTGGTGAATCAGCCTACCGGTATCTTTCCAATATGGCAATGAAGAAACTACTGCGTCACAAACTATCACACAACAAAACTCATTAAGTGACTTATACAAACTTCAAGTTCCTTCAAGTATTCTGGAACTGCAAAGTTACAAATATTGTATCCAAGTATGACCTAGTGCTGAAATTGGCTACCGGGATATCTTATTAAACTTCAATATGAATGAAGTCATTTAAAGTGCATGTTTAAGGAAAATGATTAGCTTCGACAAAGGTTTGTTTCTTGTCTGGTAAGATATTGTCTTCTCGTCAGAGAAGGTTTAGTTCCGATTAAAGATTGCAATAGAGATGAACACTAAAAGTTATATTCATTTCTGAAAGTATTAACTAGCCATATGGCACAAAGCTCTTCCAACACAAGCAACTAATTAATCAAGCCTGAGATAATGGTACTGCATTCCAGTAGTTTTCATATGGTTTCCATTAATGCGTACAACAAGTATTAGAAGGCACGTTTCAGAGCCATGACAAAGGCCATAATTGACCATGATTACATGAACATGCAACAAAATTTCTAAAAGCTAAACTAGCATACATATATGGTACAAGAGATGCAATCACTTGCTTACAGACTTTGTACTCACTTCCTGCCACCACCTGATCCATTGTTCCCCTGAAATAACTCAGTAATTCGAGCTTCAACATCCTCCACACTAAACTTGATATGCCTCTCCACGTGCCTCCCAGTATCGTGACTACTCTGCAACCTTCCAACAAAGTTGCGGTATGCTGGAGACAAAATCCCAGCTACGGAATTCTTCAAATCCTCCTTCAGTTGCTCATCAAAGATTATCCAAGTGGATTGTGTTTTACATATCTCCTCAAAGTAGGAATTGAATAACTTAAGCTTTTCTTTCAAAGACCTTGATGCTCCAGTAGGCGACATAGCATTATTATCAATCTTCAGAGCTGCCAAAACCTTACTCCATGAACTTCGTTGATAATTGACATGATACTGCTTAACTTTGGATGCGTGCTTCCGTATCCAATCATCACCTAGAAGTAATCCCAACTCACTATCTTTAACCTTCTGAACAATGTATCTTTCATTATTCATCATAAAAACAGCCAATAAAGCAGAGTCCTTGTAAATCTTGGATTTTGCTTCCAGATTACTCTCAAGTAACTCCATGGTCCACGCCATTTGAACAGCCAAGGGAGACGATGAAAGCACTCTATCATCCACTTCTCCTCTATAATCAACAGCACTAGCAGACTCCTCAAAAACCTGTTCAAGAGAAATCCGGGACCGACAAGCTGCGCGGAGATAATTCATCACGTATCGAGTAATCGGGTGGAGTCCGCCACCTGGAACAGGTGTTTTGGCAGGATCGCGGCGAATCAAATTCTCCAACTCCATAAAAATCCCTCTAATAGCCTCACCTAATCTTCTCCATATAGTCAAAGCTTCATTCCTCAATAACACACAGTATTGATCCATAAACAACAATTCAAATTCAGGCATCAAATCCCTAAGCGCCTCATAAACATCCAGCACCTTGAAAAGTCTCTCCGGTGCCCTACTTGAGATGGCAACAGCATCAGCAAAGTTGAGAAGCTGAATCGTAGAACCTCTAGAAACTTCCATGAATGACAGATCAGAAACAGAGTTGAATCCGAAAAAGACGCGATCGCATAGACGGCGTTCACTCGGGAACAGAATCCGGAGCGCAACATTGACCGCTTTGACCCATTTCTCAATCTCGTCTTCCAGCTCAGTCCACTGCATTTTCTGCACTTCATCAATACTCAGCTTCTGCAACCCCAGTCTACTCAGACTCTCCTCCAGAAACTCTCTCCTACACGCGCTGTACGCGTGCGAACACTCCTTCCCGTATCCGGCGGCCACCATCCTTCTTGCGATCTCGTGAAGATCGCTGACGGTTCCCGCCGGTAAAGCGTCAATAAGGATGTCGTAATCTGTAACCGGATGTGCTACAGGAATCTCACTGTCATCTTCAGCTTCTTCGGAATCAGAGGAGTAGTTCAGATTCGCTGCCGGTTCGCCGTTCTGGTAGCGCGTGAGATCCAAGGACTCAGCAGCGCGTTGCATGAGGGTTTTGAACTCATCCTCCAAACGGAACATAGCTTGTTGGAGTAAATCCTCAGCTTTATCAAGAGAAGCAGAAACGGATTTGTCAGTCGCCATAGGGTTCCACTCGCGAATTGTGGCTATTAATTCGTCAATGGAATCAAGGAAAGTGGCAGAATCAGCTGAATCGGACCATATGGGATGTTCGGTGGAGACGTAACGAGAGATCTGACGGTGAAGAGATTTAAGGGTTCGTTCAAGTGAAGCACAGCTAGTGGGCTGATCATCAGTGAGCTTTTCACGGAGACGATTATCGAAACTAGAGAAGATTTGAAGAATATCATCAGTCATAGTATCAGTATGACCAAGAGTTTTAGCAATATGACGAGCAACAGCTATGAGTTTTTCTTCGCCATTTTCAGCCATGTATAAAAGTGAAAATGCTTCTGTTATTGGGTTTTCCAAATTTACTAATGGGGTTTTCCTTTGAATGATCAGTAGTAGTACATGAAATATTTTTGGAAAATTTTCAGTTGGACTTGAAATTTGTGGGAGAAAGTGAGATGCTTGGAGAAGAAATGTGAAGGAAAGGGAAAAGGGAAGAGATGGGGGACCCACAGGAAGTCATAAGAAAACGCGCTTTCTGTGAAATACAGCGGAATATTAAAAGGGAAAGTTAAAAGCAGTTTAAGAGTTTTTATTAAAAGAAGGTGATACAGATACCACGGGTTAAGACTCTATTGTGGTCCGGGCCGGCCAGGACTGCAGGCCAAACGGACCGGTTCAAGCGGGCCCGGTCTCTAATGGTGTATAAGTCTGTAGCGGGTCGGTCTAATCCAAATAGTCCGTGAGTCCGGGACCGTTAAACCCAGGACCAGCAGGCGGGCCTGGGCCGGTTCAACCGATTTTTTTTTTAAAATGCCCAATGGTCAGATTTTTAAAATCTAGCCGTTGGCCATCAAAATTCAACTGTTTGACACTTTAAAAAATAGTCATTTGGCCCCCAAACTTTGTTTTAACCCCAAACTTTTTATAATTAC